ATATATATATATATATATATATATATATAGGCCTAGGTTATTCTATTCAAACTAATTATTGTGTTATTGTATGCATAAATATGAGCCAATCAATTTTACTTATTTTAAGAAAGTGATTAATATATATTATTGATTTAAATATAATTGAAAAATATCATCTTAATTAATTAGAAGGGTAATTTAGTCAAATAATATAGATTTAATAAAGGAAACTTGCATTTTTTAAGGGATCATAGATTCTATTAATTTTAAAAATCCGATTTTACGAAGTATAATTTTTTTAATTCGGACATTCTGACAGAATATGTTTATGAGTATATTCAAAAATAAAAATATTCTTGTACCATAAATAATAAAAATATTCTTGAACCTATTTCTTGATCATGAATTTAAAAACTTCTTGTAGAATAACAAATTCTTGAACAATCAATTGAAGAATAAAAACAAAAAATACATTATTTCTTAGAGAATACGGGTAACAATTGTTAAGAATTACATTTATTGTTAAAGAATAAAACTAAAAAAACTTTCAAAACGGGAAAGAAAACATCAAAATCTAACAACGATTAAACATTCTAAAAGAATAATGTTGCTTAGAATCACTTTCACTTTTATGGCCTGTTCTTAAAGCATCAACTTCTGTGATTCCAACAGAACAGGAATTCGTAATTCAATTCCAACAGAATTGGAATTCGTAATTCAATTGCAACAGAATTAGAATTCGTGATTCCATTCCAATAGAATTGGAATCTCACCAATATCATCCATTGAATCAACAAGATAAGCAGAAACTGAATCTTTTGTTGCTGTTCTTTGGGAATCATTGAAATAAGCAGGAACTGTTACAACAACTTTTGTGACCTTATCATTCATAAATTTTGAAGCATCGTCCACAAGCTTTCTCAATACCTGATAATAGAGAAGCAACAAGAGAAACCAAATTAGGGCAAAAACATCTTTCTGTTACAAATTAAGAGGTAGAGGGAGCACTGGTGTACCTGTGCTGAAATTTCTTCTGCAGCAAACTGTTTTTCAATGGCAGGACAATCAAGCTTAACGTTTCCGTTCTCGTCACGCACCACCGTATACGAAATCTGCTTAGACTCCTCGTCCACCTCCGACATCTTCCTCCCGAAAATCTTTTCACTGAGAAGAAGTTGTTTTAGCGAATTCGAATCAAAGAAAAAAAAGACTCACATCACATAAATACAAACGAACCTTCAATGCACACATCAATCGAAGGATTCATGTTATCGAATGCACAAAAAGCACAAAACATCTCAGAATATTAACCCGATTATAGCCCAGACAGGGAAGATGAACAAGAGAACGATACCGATGGTGTTGGAAATGCCATTGCTCTTGGCGAAAGCGTTCTTGAATCCTCCAGAAGCTCTGATGTGTTCTTAAAGCAAATAGCATCCGATAACCAAGTAGACCTATCTCTGTTCTTCGTGTACGCCACAACTGATGGCGTCGTCCTCTGCCCCTCGGCGTTGGTAACGATGACAGGCTTCACTTCGTTGCTTCAGTCTCGTCGACCCCGGAGACGCTTCCTTAGCCTGCAATCGATCGACATCCATTGGACCTTGCAGTCGCTTCGTGCTTTCCTTCTCACCTTCATCGATGAATTTGGGGGAAGTTGTTTATAAAAGGGGATAAATTAGGTTAAAATCAACTAGCATAATTATAAGAAAGTATTTGGGGAAGTTGTTTATAAAATTACCTAATTACCCTTAGTTATTTATTTAATTATTTATTTATATTTTAATTTTTGATTGGCCCACATTTATGCATACAATAACACAATAAATATTTTAAACAATTGAACCTATATATATAT